CTGGCTCATTTCATTTCCTTCCTGGCGCCCGTTACAACAACCCTCCGATTAGACGGGATTCCGGGCAATAAATTTTCTTTGCTCGTCCGCTGTCATCAGAAGTCAATTACAATTTCCCCATAGCACTTCGCGTATCCCACTGATCTGCGCAGCATTTTGGTCAACGAAGTGTTCAATCTCACCATCCTCCCAACCGCCGTTGGCCGGTTCACACCCAAGAACGGATGAAGGCTCAGTTGAGTCGGCCCCTAATGCTGCAGCCCTCTCGAACGACTGAAATACTCGACGCAGTTGAGGCTGTCGGTACACGTTAGAAAAGCTTCTTCCCCTTCGACTTGCCTTCCACATGAACAATAGACAACCTATTCCTTAGAGGAAACAAGTTAGTCTAAATTGATCTCGTGTTGTGTCAATTTGAACTTTTGAATCCGAGTCCAATAATTTCATACACGACTTTCAACTCCTTTCGAGCGGTCAAAAGGGCGAACTATAAAACACTACTATCACCCAACGACAAGTAGGTAGTAGGCAGATATCTCCCCGTAACCTCTTAAAAGTGATAATTAACGCGCATTTTATCTAACGATATTCCTAATCATCATTTCTGATAATTCCTCCCAAAATCGCTATGTCAAGATCTAAGATGACCAATATCAGGCTTCGTAACATACGCAAGCATTTAAATGCAATTCACAGAGACAATCCCAAAAGCTGACATCACAACAACCTCCGTAAATAACATAAACATCAAAGATGACAGTACAGCCTCTTAACACTATTATAAAGTTAATCACGCGACCACACTGAAGACATACTCGGTCTTCGAGTAGTATTTCTCTCCGGGCCTAAGAAGAGTTGAAGGGAAGTCAGCACGGTTTGGCGAGTTGGGATAATGCTGAGACTCAAGGGCAATAGCATTGTTCTTCTTGGTCAAGAAATTGCCAGTGTATGCTTGAACACCAGGTTGGGTAGTGCTGATGTCCACACGGCGACCAGAGGCTGCGCAATATAGACTGCCCAACTTCCTCAACTCGCCGGGCTTGCCAGAGAGAACATAGTTGTGATCAAGACCGTTCATTGCAGTCAACTGTTCATCGGTTTGGGAGAGAGCATCACCAATAAGTTTCGGAGTTAAGAAATCAAAAGGAGTACCTGAGAGAGCGACAATAGCACACAGTAACCGACGAAGTTGCCAACACTCGCATGCACAGTTCAGAATCGTATACGACTCGTATTATACAAGTGTGTAAATCAACCTAATTCCGAGATTTTCCCGACCAACAAGAAAATACGCTGAGAGATATGGGTAAACTAACCAACATGAACAGAATGAAATCATATAATTATGAACGAGTAAGCGTTTGAACAGCAAGGAGAAACCGGCTTACCTTTGACATCAGCTGGGGGGCCCTCAATGGGGATGCCGCCGTTCTCAACCTTCACGAACTTCTCAGCGTTAGGCAAACACAACTCGTGCTTGCATATAGTCTGCGAATGGTCGTTGTCCAAGTTGAAGTAGGTGTGGTGATTGAGATTGACGACGGTGGGAGCGTCAGTGGTGGCATAATACTCCATGGTGAACTTGTTGCCAGTGATGGTGAAAACGACAGTAACATCCAAGTTGCCAGGGAAACCTTGGTCGCCGTCCTCAGATCGAACCGTAAAGGTTGCAGACGCAGACTTTTCTGAATGCAAGGCAAAGAAAAGATTATACTAATGGATATATTGCTATCGAGTATATCGTACATAAACATGCATTCACTACTCATCACCAATTATGATTTATGAATACAAACATGACAACTAATAACGACCTAATATTATATTAGAATATACTCCAACGTACATTCTAAGAACACAAAACCAAGAAAATCCAAGAGAGCTCACCATCGCGGTAGGAATCCGTATGTTTCCAAATTTTCTTGTTGAAACCATCGGTGCCACCATGAAGGCAATGAGGACCGTTATTGGTGGTCAACTGATACTCCTTACCATCGATCGTCATACGACCATTGGCAATTCTATTAGCATATCTGAAAAATGTGTTACAAATTCCCCCAACTGTTTCTGATGCGCTCACCTGCCTGCTACACAACATAGGTAAAAGGTGTCATCAACATACTTGGACAATTCGTGACCGTAGTTGAGGTTGACTGCAGAGAACTTGCCGTTACGATCAGCACTCTCGAGGCTGAGGAGGTAGAGACCGTACTCGGCAATAGTGACTCTAATCTTGTCGTTGGAGAGAGTAACGGTCTGACTATTCTTGAGGTCAGCAACAAAATTGCAATCGACAGAGTAAGAATTCATGATGGAAAAACTAACAAAATTGCGACTATCATTAGCGAGTATTACAATAAAATAACATTACAGTGCAACCAAAAGTCTAGCTACATGCCACAGCGTCGTTAACGCTAGATGGAAATCTTAGCGGGGAAAATCATGGCCGTTACCCGACAAGTCAAATACGGCCTTCGCGGAAACAGTAGAACTCTCAGAATGATGGTGTTGGCCTCTACAGTATTGGTAACAAAATGTGTCTACTGGTACTCGGGATACTTCATAGTTTCAACCTGATGAAGGACCATCGAAAATTTCAGCTCAGCTCTACTTAAAACGTTTGTGTTGTGGGGCGTGCGCGAACGTGATTGAAGTGTCGTAAACCCATCACGCTTTCGATAAGCGAAATGAAGTTGGTCCGACTATTTTTATGGGTTGAGCGTTTGGTCAAGTACGTGACTGTCGACACAGGAATGGGGTCCCACTCAAGACTGCATACATGATGACTAAGCTTTCGGCACGAAGAAGCGGAACTTGGGTTGTTTGTAACGGTCGCGAATTCAATTCACAATACGATCTTTTTTCTGAGTATTTCCTGTTAACTACAGCCATGGCGCACAACAGTCGTGGTCAATATACGATGAAGAAAGGTGACCACAGTATCTTTATATTCTGGAGGATACCTGAACCACACATACCTTGGGAGTACAACTAATGTAGACGCAGAAAAATAACAAGCGAATGAACGCGCCGGGAATGCGCGAAGTGATAGTATATACTCCGCTCGCTTCCCTCAGCATCTGCGATTCGGAACTTCAACATCACTGCGCAACCGCAAGTTGAGTTGCTGAGCTGTGCCGCGCTGCAGTTCGACACAATTTTCTGTCTCCTCACTTGTCGCAAGCTGCGTCTGCGTGCAAGCACAGACGTTGTTAAAGAATCTATCACGAGGGTATCAACTGGAGCTCAGAAGGTTCAAGATTTCTCGCTGAAAGGCTTCGATTCCTCACACCCTTGTCGAATAACGATTTTTGCTCTAATGAGGCGCGCTTTGGACGTTGTCCTGTTATCAACGGCTATAGCGTAAAAGACATCATCATCATCATGGTTATAACCTATGCCGACCACTTCAGATTTTCTCCTGTTTCTACCATGTCGGCAGTCAGTCAACAAGCTTGTAGTCGTTCTCCGCAGAGGCCGTCAGCGGCAGCTGCAGTGGCGTCCCGTTCGTCGCCACTACCGGTGATCTATCTGAGTCAAGCAAGTATGTCCCTTTGTCGCTAGGAC